CAATTTATTTATTTTTTTCAAATATCAACACATCTTAATTCATTTTGGAATGACGCTCATCCATCCTAACTTTCTATTTCATACCTTGAATGAGTTTATGTGCAAATAAGTAAAATGGTGAGAAAATACCTCTCCAACGATACCTCATAAGTCCAAATCGGTAAAGTTTTGGCTGAGTTATACAAGTTCTTCTTACACCAATCTTTGAAAAAAGTTCAGAAAACAGCAGCCAATATCGCATTATTATGATTGCGTAGAAAATGTATTTAAATATTTTTGTGCAAATTTTTTAAGCTTAAACTGTTTTGTCATCTGAGGTGGCTTTTGCAAAAAATTCTTTAAGAAACTTTTTTTATTCACTTAATTTTTTGAGGTATTTTCAAATCGCTGCAGCTCACGTAAATCCTAATATTTTTCCAAAATATTTAGGCGAAAGTCTTAAAATATAATATACTTTATAATTCCAATGGAAAAACAGGACCGATTTTTTTGATGTATGGGGAGTGATGCAGTCTAATGTAGTACATATGCGTATGTATGTATGTAAGTCTAAATGCACATCTATATATATATATATATAAGTATATACTCATTTGTATTTGATTGAATTAAAGTAATGCCAAAAGCGCCCCATGTGCTGGCACAATATTCGAGTCATTCTTCCTGTGCCGTTCCGCTGAAGCGTGCAGGCGCTAGACAGCGTTTCGCAATGCGTGCCAACTGCCGCATTATTGAAATTACTGCGCTTGCCATTCGACTTCGGCCGACATCACTGCAGGCTGCAGCAGCGTAACGCAACGAGGCATATGCTGCAAGCGATTTTCCTTGACTTGAAGTAACACTAAAAAAAAAAATAAAAGTGAAAAGCAACAGCAAAAACAAAAGCAAGCGATAGATGTCAGAGCAGAGTGCAGCAAAAATAGAGTTAATGAGCAAAGTACGTATATTTTGGCATAATGAAAAGTTACTTTTAAATGCTACATTGGAAAGTTTTTTTTTTTTTTTTTTTTTGACACAAAGTGCTTAAGTAATTTTTAAGTACTGCAGTCAGAATTAACAAATGAGAGTGCTCTCTAATCAAAACTGAATTACAAGTTTGCACAAGATTAGTTCTCAGCATTTGATTAAGCCCAATGGCTGACAACTACTGGGGTACTAAAAATATTTTAAAGTGCATACAAACATAAATGCATACATACATATTTCACATTTTAAAATATATTTTTCCACTGTAAAAATCTATCTCTAATCAAATACTATTAAAAGTCAAGAGCCAAAAATTTAGTAAACTACAACAATTTAATTTCACATAAAAAACATTCGTCAGAATTGCTCGCGGTCATAATCGTATTTCTTGCACACACTCGCACAAGTATGTACAAATGCTTGGGAGTACTTTGTTTATGAATTTTATAGGGTAATAAAATATTAATGTTCGCTTCCTCGGCTTTTTCTCTTTACGATAATATGTATATGTAAGTATGTAAGTATGTGCATAAGAGTGTAGGGTCTTCAATATTTGTACATATATGTATATTGGAGAAAGAGCGGTAAAGTATTCACAAAATCGTTCCTTAATCAAGTGCTTCGTTTAAATTTGTGCAAAATATGATTTAATGCAAGGGGTCGTTCTGTATGAAGCACTGAATGATACTTCAGCTGTTAGGAGCTTTATGTGTTCAATGTAAAGTGGTGGCATAAACAGTTTTAGAATTATTGCTGATACTTATGAAATCACAAAAGCTAAGAAATACATACATATAAGAGATGTAGGAAATATTTAAAAACTTGTTTTATATAAAAGTTTTTGATTTTTATTTTGTGTGTTTTTCACCCACCCTGGGCAACAATGTTTACATAAATATTTACTTGTACATGTGTTCGTATAATCTCTTCACGAGCCAAAAAATATTTTGTTAATTTCACGCTCCGGCCAACAAGTTGCGGTAAATTTTAATAGCTAGTACTTGTATTGTTCACTTATACTACATACATACACTTCATCATTGTAGCCGAACTAATTCAAAGCGGGTGCAGAGTGAAACAGTTGGTGTTCGGCTTACTGAATTCTAGGCCATTGCTTTGCACTACTGGGTATGCAACCGGGAGCAAAATGCCTTTAAATTATACAGGCTTTCGCTAAACGGAAGTCAATTTTTTTAAGTGACACATGTGCATGCTTTTACCGCAGGTTCGGATTCCGTGGATAAAAATACGTTATTTTTGGAATAGACTTCCGGTTGAAATTGGAAGTTGAGCCTCCGCGACATAATTAGCACTTAAAATAAGCACTTGCTAGAAAAAATTCCCAAACAAAAGTGACGTATTTTTATAAATAGAATCCGAATCTATAGTAAAACCATATATATCCCATTAAAAAAATGTACTTCCGGTCAGTTTAACCCACTTGCGGTCGACCAAATATAGAGCATTTCATAAATTTGCGTTTTCCAATATGAAAAAAAAATAAAATTTTGCTCCATTTAAGAAGAGGCGCACAGGTGGTAGAGTTTGGTTTAGTTAACCTTACTTCCGCTCCTAGCTATTATTATTTCCAAGTCTTCTTTGTCGAGAAACAAGTCTACATGTGTAGATGTTCGATGTGATTACTACATGCCTTGGCTCAACCCTGAAACTATCCCTAAGATTTCTGCTGCATGGAATGGTGAGGCAGCGTTGTGACATTATGGGACATCTCGAGTTTCTACAACTTTCAGATGAGCTCCTGAAGAGACCTCGACTGGTTTAACGATGGCAGCTACGGATCTACCGTCGCCACAGACAACTTACCTACAAGAAAATCAACAGGCATCCGTACAAGGATGAGGACAGATCTGGGTTGCCCTGCTTCACTTCTAGCTTTACTTTGGATCTACTTCCATTGGCGCTTACAGATTCCACTTTCCTCTATGTTTTCGTCCATTGCTTGCTTCACTACTCTTCTTCGGAGCGAAATGCGCTTTTCCATAGAATTCTTTTTTTTCTTATTCTTCTTCTTCTTCTTATTTTTCTTCTTCTTCTTCTTTTTCTTCTTC